TCACTGTCTTTGCGAACTTCAATCTTCAAATAAAAAAATGATCGATATGGTAAGTTTATATTATACGCATTATGAGTCATTCTCGAGAATTAATTTACCTTCAAAACAGCATCCTTTATTCCATAATCATGTACTTGTGCCAAAAAAACTATACACTCTCTTCCATTTCCAAGGTGAGAAGTAATCTGCACATGGATGCGATTTCCAGAGTGTAATCTGATATAGATACCCTCTTTGATGAAAGAAGCCAAGAGGCTTTCAGTAGAAATTGATGACTTATTCCTATACATATACGTTTCATCGTTATTTTGAGATTCTTTTTTTTCGCCAGAAGCTCTCATAGACAGGTCTTTATGATAACGCTCAATTATGCCGGTGATAAATGAGGCTGTCTTTCTACTCCATTCATAAGTCTGACTTTCCTCAAACTTCACTATTGGGTTATTAGGATTATCTAATACAAATTGGATTTTCACAAATAACCAAAGCTTCCCATCCGTTAAACATCCATAAAAAACGTTTGTTAGAGGTGGATTCGCTGTAAGGTATGCCCTGGCATATTTTATTAGTTGACCTTTCCCTTCGGTTACTTTTGAACCATTACTTAAATCATTCTTGACTTCCCAACCCAAACCCTTTGATAAATCAGGTGGGTTTTCTGTCAATTCTTTGTAGAAATCGGAACGGCCAATTATGATATCAGGGAAAACATTATCTCTCACCCGACCGCCACCGTCTCCCAACACAAGTAAATTACTTAATCGCATCCCATTTAAGATTTCATTGATTTCACTCACAACATCCTTACAAAATGGTTGGGTTACATCAACTTCACTTGATCCTTGAGCGGGAGGATCATGGTTGTTAATAAATACGTCGTCGCCAGCCCCTCTTAGTGGGTTTATATCGGTATCCTCTTCGATTTCCCATAGTTGGAAGTCTCCATGTGCTCTCACAAATCTGTACACGGAAGCAGAACTTTGTGTATTAGATATCCTAAGAAAGAAATTCTCATATTCCAAATCCTGAATTCTCTGGAGACTCTGGATATATTGTTCTGAATAAACTGAAAATAGTGATG